CAAGCACAACTGTTGATTTTAATAATGCATTAGTAAATGTTGAAATTAACATGAACTAAGATTAGTAAATGCTGAAGAACTGTTGTTCATTCTTAGTTCATTAACTAAAGTAGTTAACTAATGCACCTTATTGTAAAGTGTTACCAATATTAATATAAATTCTGTCCAGTTTTATTGTGTTACTTTCAGTAAAAGTGTGGTTATTTTATTGGCTTGTGTTTTTTTTTTTATTCAGTATCATTAAAATTGAGTTAAATTTAAAAAGTCTTACAAAATTACTTTATATTATTTAATAAAATAATAAATAATAATTACAAAGCATTTACAGTAAAGTTTCAGTTTTCGGCCCAGAATTTTCATTCGGTGCATCCCTATTATTAATCATAACCATTATATTATAATTATTACATTAGTTATTGATGTTATTAATTTATCTCCATGTACTACAATAATGATATATATTTTAAACTATATAGCTCAACCCAAACTATTGTACTATTATTAATATACTATTATAGTTATTATAATTATTTATTTATATATATTATCTATCTATCTATCTATCGTTCTATCGTTCTATCAATCTATCGTTCTATCTATCTATCTATCTATCTATCTATCTATAGTTCTATCTATCTATCATTCTATCTATCGTTCTATCTATCGATCTATCGTTCTATATATCGTTCTATCTATATATCGTTCTATCTATCTATCGTTCTATCTATCTATCGTTCTATCTATCTATCTATCTATATCTATCGTTCTATCGTTCTATCAATCTATCGTTCTATCAATCTATCGTTCTATCTATCATCTATCGTTCTATCAATCTATCGTTCTATCTATCTACCTATCTATCTATCTATCTATCTTATCTATCTTGTCTGTCTGTCTGTCTGTCTGTCTGTCTTTGTCTGTCTGTCTATCTTGTCTGTCTGTCTGCCTTATCTACCTTGTCTATCTTGTCTGTCTGTCTGTCTGTTCATTCATCCATCCATTAATCCATCCAATTCAGGTTATAAGATAAAGGATCTGATCTTGTGTGAATGTGTGTTTGCATGTTAACAGAAGTTCATTGAATATGAAGATGTCTTGGAGGCAGACAAGAAGGAGTTGCAGTCCATGTTGGAGACTTTGGAGCTACAAACAAAACAACTCGAGCTGAAGACCAAGAACTATGCTGACCAGAGTGAGTCTGTGCACTTAACTACATTTGTTCATACACACACATTGACACCGAGATTTGAGTTTCTTGCAATATGCATTTGTGATGTTCCTCTCTTGTAGTCTCTCGTCTGGAAGAACGAGAATCAGACATGAAGAAAGAGTATAACGCCCTTCACCAGCGGCATACAGAGGTCAGCACAGATTTATAACTCAGATTAACACAGGGTTCCCAAGACAATGGAAAACCAAGAGGAAAAGGATGGCAACGAATGTAGGAAAAGTTATGGAAATGCATGAAATAATATGAAAGTTCATGGAAATTTCCATAGTGGATATAATATTTTTCTAGTTATTTAAAAAATGAGCTGCTAAAAATTGTGATCTTGATCAATTTATTTTTGGCATGGAAAATGAATGGAAACATAATGGAAATTGTGGGGACACTATTAGCAATAACTCGAAAGTTACAAATACAAAGCTCCACTTCTCGAAAATTCAGCATATACACTGACATTGATTTTTCTTTTTCTTCAGATGATACAAACATATGTGGAACACATTGAGCGTTCAAAGATGCAACAGACAGGCAGCAACCAGTCTGAATCTACAGGCTGCGGACGGGCGTGAGTAACTTATATAATTAGCATAATGCGGCCATTCCAAGCCTTCATTTACTTGAAGAGTTTGGAATGTGCATTTGGAATTAATTTGTGTTTTGCATGTTTGTTTTGTGCTATTAAATAACACGTTTTGTTGGTAACCAGTTGGAAGAATTCCTCTGATTAGTTTTAAACAGAATTAAATACTTCGAATTTCAATCTGCAAACTCATATTCTCTAATTTTGGAACATCAGCTATGACTGTGTATTGCAGTTTGGACGTATGTATTAGATGCTTTGGATTTTGATGAAACAGAATGGCCCATTATTGAAACAGTTGTCTTGGATACAGCGTTGCTAGGTGCTAGGTGATGATGCTCAGTGACAGTTTGTCATGTCTTGCTTAGTCAGAGCTAGAGTTGTGGCTAGCTTATAGTCATACTCGATTATACACACATCTCCGCACATTTCTATCATCTATCATCTGTCTATCTATCTATCTATCTATCTATCTATCTATCTATGTATCTATCTATCTGTCTTATCTATCTATCGATCGTTCTATCAATCCATCGTTCTATCTATCTATTTATCTATCTATCTATCTATCTATCGATCGTTCTATCTATTTATTTATCTATCTATCTATCTATCTATCGATCGTTCTATCTATTTATTTATCTATCTATCTATCTATCTATCGATCGTTCTATCTATTTATTTATCTATCTATCTATCTATCTATCGATCGTTCTATCTATTTATTTATCTATCTATCTATCTATCTATCGATCGTTCTATCTATTTATTTATCTATCTATCTATCTATCTATCGATCGTTCTATCTATTTATTTATCTATCTATCTATCTATCTATCGATCGTTCTATCTATTTATTTATCTATCTATCTATCTATCTATCGATCGTTCTATCTATTTATTTATCTATCTATCTATCTATCTATCGATCGTTCTATCTATTTATTTATCTATCTATCTATCTATCTATCGATCGTTCTATCTATTTATTTATCTATCTATCTATCTATCTATCGATCGTTCTATCTATTTATTTATCTATCTATCTATCTATCTATCGATCGTTCTATCTATTTATTTATCTATCTATCTATCTATCTATCGATCGTTCTATCTATTTATTTATCTATCTATCTATCTATCTATCGATCGTTCTATCTATTTATTTATCTATCTATCTATCTATCTATCGATCGTTCTATCTATTTATTTATCTATCTATCTATCTATCTATCGATCGTTCTATCTATTTATTTATCTATCTATCTATCTATCTATCGATCGTTCTATCTATTTATTTATCTATCTATCTATCTATCTATCGATCGTTCTATCTATTTATTTATCTATCTATCTATCTATCTATCGATCGTTCTATCTATTTATTTATCTATCTATCTATCTATCTATCGATCGTTCTATCTATTTATTTATCTATCTATCTATCTATCTATCGATCGTTCTATCTATTTATTTATCTATCTATCTATCTATCTATCGATCGTTCTATCTATTTATTTATCTATCTATCTATCTATCTATCGATCGTTCTATCTATTTATTTATCTATCTATCTATCTATCTATCGATCGTTCTATCTATTTATTTATCTATCTATCTATCTATCTATCGATCGTTCTATCTATTTATTTATCTATCTATCTATCTATCTATCGATCGTTCTATCTATTTATTTATCTATCTATCTATCTATCTATCGATCGTTCTATCTATTTATTTATCTATCTATCTATCTATCTATCGATCGTTCTATCTATTTATTTATCTATCTATCTATCTATCTATCGATCGTTCTATCTATTTATTTATCTATCTATCTATCTATCTATCGATCGTTCTATCTATTTATTTATCTATCTATCTATCTATCTATCGATCGTTCTATCTATTTATTTATCTATCTATCTATCTATCTATCGATCGTTCTATCTATTTATTTATCTATCTATCTATCTATCTATCGATCGTTCTATCTATTTATTTATCTATCTATCTATCTATCTATCGATCGTTCTATCTATTTATTTATCTATCTATCTATCTATCTATCGATCGTTCTATCTATTTATTTATCTATCTATCTATCTATCTATCGATCGTTCTATCTATTTATTTATCTATCTATCTATCTATCTATCGATCGTTCTATCTATTTATTTATCTATCTATCTATCTATCTATCGATCGTTCTATCTATTTATTTATCTATCTATCTATCTATCTATCGATCGTTCTATCTATTTATTTATCTATCTATCTATCTATCTATCGATCGTTCTATCTATTTATTTATCTATCTATCTATCTATCTATCGATCGTTCTATCTATTTATTTATCTATCTATCTATCTATCTATCGATCGTTCTATCTATTTATTTATCTATCTATCTATCTATCTATCGATCGTTCTATCTATTTATTTATCTATCTATCTATCTATCTATCGATCGTTCTATCTATTTATTTATCTATCTATCTATCTATCTATCGATCGTTCTATCTATTTATTTATCTATCTATCTATCTATCTATCGATCGTTCTATCTATTTATTTATCTATCTATCTATCTATCTATCGATCGTTCTATCTATTTATTTATCTATCTATCTATCTATCTATCGATCGTTCTATCTATTTATTTATCTATCTATCTATCTATCTATCGATCGTTCTATCTATTTATTTATCTATCTATCTATCTATCTATCGATCGTTCTATCTATTTATTTATCTATCTATCTATCTATCTATCGATCGTTCTATCTATTTATTTATCTATCTATCTATCTATCTATCGATCGTTCTATCTATTTATTTATCTATCTATCTATCTATCTATCGATCGTTCTATCTATTTATTTATCTATCTATCTATCTATCTATCGATCGTTCTATCTATTTATTTATCTATCTATCTATCTATCTATCGATCGTTCTATCTATTTATTTATCTATCTATCTATCTATCTATCGATCGTTCTATCTATTTATTTATCTATCTATCTATCTATCTATCGATCGTTCTATCTATTTATTTATCTATCTATCTATCTATCTATCGATCGTTCTATCTATTTATTTATCTATCTATCTATCTATCTATCGATCGTTCTATCTATTTATTTATCTATCTATCTATCTATCTATCGATCGTTCTATCTATTTATTTATCTATCTATCTATCTATCTATCGATCGTTCTATCTATTTATTTATCTATCTATCTATCTATCTATCGATCGTTCTATCTATTTATTTATCTATCTATCTATCTATCTATCGATCGTTCTATCTATTTATTTATCTATCTATCTATCTATCTATCGATCGTTCTATCTATTTATTTATCTATCTATCTATCTATCTATCGATCGTTCTATCTATTTATTTATCTATCTATCTATCTATCTATCGATCGTTCTATCTATTTATTTATCTATCTATCTATCTATCTATCGATCGTTCTATCTATTTATTTATCTATCTATCTATCTATCTATCGATCGTTCTATCTATTTATTTATCTATCTATCTATCTATCTATCGATCGTTCTATCTATTTATTTATCTATCTATCTATCTATCTATCGATCGTTCTATCTATTTATTTATCTATCTATCTATCTATCTATCGATCGTTCTATCTATTTATTTATCTATCTATCTATCTATCTATCGATCGTTCTATCTATTTATTTATCTATCTATCTATCTATCTATCGATCGTTCTATCTATTTATTTATCTATCTATCTATCTATCTATCGATCGTTCTATCTATTTATTTATCTATCTATCTATCTATCTATCGATCGTTCTATCTATTTATTTATCTATCTATCTATCTATCTATCGATCGTTCTATCTATTTATTTATCTATCTATCTATCTATCTATCGATCGTTCTATCTATTTATTTATCTATCTATCTATCTATCTATCGATCGTTCTATCTATTTATTTATCTATCTATCTATCTATCTATCGATCGTTCTATCTATTTATTTATCTATCTATCTATCTATCTATCGATCGTTCTATCTATTTATTTATCTATCTATCTATCTATCTATCGATCGTTCTATCTATTTATTTATCTATCTATCTATCTATCTATCGATCGTTCTATCTATTTATTTATCTATCTATCTATCTATCTATCGATCGTTCTATCTATTTATTTATCTATCTATCTATCTATCTATCGATCGTTCTATCTATTTATTTATCTATCTATCTATCTATCTATCGATCTATCGATCTATCTATCTATCTATCTATCTGTCTGTCTGTCTGTTTCTATCTATCTATATATCTATCTTATCGATCTATCGTTCTATTGTTCTATCTGTCTATCTGCCTGTCTGTCTATCTCTATCTATCTATCTATCTATCTATTTCGTTCTATCCATCTATCTATCTATCTATCTATCTATCTATCTATCTATCTATCTATCTATCATTCTATCTATCGTTCTATCGTTGTATCGTTCTATCTCTCTCTCTCTGTCTCTCTCTCTCTCTCTGTTCTCAAATTTAGTGCATTTGGATAAAACTGAAACTAATTTCCTTTTCCGTTGACGTCACCAAACACCCTTAATTTTTCCATTGTTGCGTTTTCAGTTACGTTTCATTTTGAGACTTTTTTTAGCCATAAATTCAATGAATTCACTGTGCTGCCATATTTTTTCCCCATCATTAAACATCATGTTTCAGAACAGAAACATGTGGATTGCAGGAGTTGCCAAGTCTGTGGTTTTACCGCAAAGTTGTGCTACTTTTTCACTGTTTCTGCGGGTTGTTTTTTAGTCTGCAGTTTAAAGCGATCTCCCCCCACCCCTTGGATCACCATTTTGACCGAGGGCATTCCCAGCAGAGGGGAAAACCATAAAACTAGCTTTTTGGACTAGTTTTGAATAGCAGTTGGGCTGGTTTTGTTTGACAGACCTGGCAACCCT